GGGGGGGGGGGGGGGGGGGGGGGGCGATTTCGGTCTTCCTGGCGGACGTTTGGCTTGGGCCGGAGCTTCAGCCGTGGCCGCGGCCTCAGCTGGCGCAAGTGCTGGAACTGGACCAAATGCATCTATATGTGGTGAACTGTCACGATGGCTGGACTCAAGCGGTTGGCGTTCCCGCGCAGCTTCGGAAGCGGCAGCCGCCCGCGGGGCGGTGCCCGCAACTTCTGTGGACTCTTCCAGGGCCAGGCCGCTGAACCCTGCTGGCGCGGGGTCCGACTGCGCGACGCGCTGGCACCCGCTTCCATGGCCCCCTCAGACTCCTCTGGCGGTTGGCTGCGCGATGAAGTTGACCGTCGCGAGGACCGCGATCGGCATCTTCGGCCTCGGCGAAGGCGCTGAGGAACCACAATTTCAAGGTTCAGGCGCCAAGCGTAGCCCCCCGCAGCTCGGTTCATAGCCTCGTCTGCCTCCCGAAAGACACGGTCCAGAGGGCGAGCTGCAGCTGGGCGAATCTGCGCAATGCTCCTGCCGTGGCAATCGGCAGTATCGCCCTGCCACGGCGAGCATTCGCATCTGCCTGTCCTCCTGCCAGCACGCTGGCCGACCGGAGCTCGTCTTCCCGCCCGTCGGCCCAGTGCTTCAGGGGCGCGAGTCGGACGTCCTCGACGGGCGCGCCCAAGGCGTCGGTCTACGCCGTGGCCGCATGGGTGCTCAGGTCCACGAGCGCCGCGGCCTCCTCGAGGCTGGCGGGGGGCATGGTGATCTGATTCGCTTGCCTCTTCCACTTCTATCATGCACAAAGTCGCAGACAACCCCTCGGCTTTTGAAAATCCAAGGACCCGGAGAAAAAGAACTGCTGGGCGGACGTCGTGGATGTACCCATCGGTAGAAGTCCGGTACCAGCGTTCCTGGGTTCGGTCGTTGGCAAAATGGGCTGGCTTGAAAAGCATCGTCGTTGTAGACATGGCAACGTGAGCACATTCAACCTTGATGTGCCCGGCGAGCCTGCGCCGCGGGATGATCAGGACGAAGATCAGGGCCGCGCTCCTCCCGTGCAGGGCTGAAGTCGAAACTCCATCAGGGCCTCCTCGGCAACTTCTCCTTCCAGTCCGGCGAATCCTGGCTCTGTTTTGAAAGCCGGGTCCCGGTCTGAGCTAGGTGGTGGAGGTCGTTGTTCCTGACGTCAGACATAGCATCTAAACGTGGGGGTAAAAATGCTGGTGAGTTCCGGATCAGATCCCCCCCGTGGATAGTGATGGCGCCCAACGACGAGGCGCATTCCCCAATGGTGCCAAATCGGCGATCCTCGGGATCTGGCCCCATCACAAAGCGCGGATCTACAGCGCATCCAAGTATTCGGGCCCATGCGCGGAAACTATCATACTCTCTCTGGGCCAAGTTCAACGTAAGTTGCCCGTCGGGAGCACTTGCAGCCAACTCCATGATATGCTGCGTATCCGGGTCGCCCAACGGATTGAGCGGCGAGTCGGCTCGCACCCGTGGACGCGCGCGATCTCAGACACGTCTCATCAGAACGTCGTCGTCACCCCCGTCAATGCAAAAGTTCGGGCGGTCAGAACGCTCGCTGGAAGAAGATGCCCCGCGCGCGGCATGATTCCGTCCTTCAGAACCAGAACGTCTGTGGGCAAGCGCGCAAGCACGATGGGCATCCGTCAATGCCTCGCTGCACCACATGTGGGTACGATATGCCAGATGATCTCCCTTTTCTACATCCAGGTGCGTAAAATACGCACGCGTCATCTTCGGCGAGTAAAGGCCAGCCAGCACCGCACCCCACGGGCGATGTTCTTGGAGCCAGATACATGGGAAGCTGAGGCGGGTGATCTCAGGCCCGTCGACGCGCGGGGTCGAGGCCGACCTCGCCGTCGCCCACCGCCTCGTAGCATGCGCCATGCGCGCGCTCATCTTCAAGATCGGCATGGAGGCGGCAGTAGTGAAGTGCCTCGCACTCGAGTCCGCGTGTATCGGATCGTGTTCCCACGAGCCGTCGGTGGCCCGCCTCGCCCGAGCCGCCAGCGCGCGGTCGCGCGCCCGCGAGCAAGTCCCCGATGGAATTTGATGTGTCCAGCTGGTAATACTCCGGTACGTCGTGGAACGCGCCAGGTAGAGATACCCCTCGGATGATTCAATCAAGTAGGGGCGTTCCTGCCTGATGTAGCTGGGATGACCTAAACACTCGAACGCGCCTGGCAGCCGTCTGTCCGGGAGCGTTCGGGCACTCTCGGGTAAGATATCGAATCGATCCGCAATGGTGGCATACCATCACCTGAAAGTCCTTGCTACTGGGGTTCCGGGTGCAGCCGCCCCCCCAATGCCTGGTGTGGATCTGTCGCGAGCACGCTCGCCTCTCCCCTTGTTTCGCCTGCCAGAAAATATCCTCTGAGGCCTAGTCGGGCAAGCCGGCGACATTGGTTTGGAAGCATTTTCCAATGGGTCGACTACGTAACCCGCGGCCTCTGCGCCCCTTTCCCACGAGCGTTCGTCTTGCGAGGCGTCAGGCGCGGCGCGCTGGCTGGCGCGCGCAGAGCCGCCAACGGCCAGTATGATATTGCCATCGATGGAAGAAGTCTCGGCCAGGTTGATATTTGGGCAAATAGGCGCACATCGCTCTGAATATAAACCGCGTCGTAGTTAGACGAGATCTCGCTCTTGTTCGCGCCGCCACCATGGCTCCCCCAAAGCGCGGCCGCTAGCGGAGCAGCGGGCGCCGTCTGCGGCGTCGTCGGAGCCTGGGCGGCCCAGTTTCCCCGGGCGCCCTGGTCGACAGGTGACGTCCCAGAGCTAGGTGCCGGCGCTCCTTCCTGGTGTCCTCAGAAGTCGCCCACCACGACGGCAGCCGCGACGCGAGTTTCTGCCGCGGCATGCCCGTCCATGAGTCGGGCGACGCGGCCGAGGATCTGCGCCGATATGCGCCTCTGACGAAGCGGGCTTCGCGGAGATCGTCGCGCTGTTGTCGCGCGCGAGCGCGAGACACCATGCCGGTTAGAGGCTCTCATAATGGCGCCACTACTCCTGGCCGCATGCGAAGTGCCCGCGCCAGCGTCGCGCACAGTAATCTGGAGTTGTCTAAGCCAAAGCCCGCGGTATCAGCCTCAATTCGGGCGTTTTCCCACCGGGCCACGACGCCATTGACGCGCCCGCCCGGCTGCGCCCTGAAGTCCATGAGCTCGAGTCCGCGTGGCACTTGTCGCTCCCCCACGAGGCTCTCGAACCGCCGGGCCAAGCAGCGAAAGAAGTGGGCGACCCGGTCGGCGCGGACGCCGCTCGCCTCCACGCCGAAGGTGACGACGGCAGGTGGGGTCGTCACTGCTAGCGCGCGCCAGGCCGTGAAGACCACGCTGCAAGGCCGAACCTTGCTGCGAGGGCGCCACGCGCCCAGCGCAGACGTTCAGCCCGGCGCGCACCTCGCGAATCCAGACGCATTGCGGGACAGATCCCGCGGGGCCCCAGGTCGGACCCCTTCGCCTGGTCGCCCTCCCGCTCGCGGATCATGCGCTCAATGAAAACTGCAATGGCCGCCGCAGTCAGACCGCGCCACCCTTCCCAAGAAAAATCCCCTGGAACGTAGGAGGAACCGCGGCGCGTCTGGAAGTGGCGACGGCGCCGGCCGCGTTGCCGCGAGCGGCTGGGGACAAAGAGAAGCTCGCGAGTCCGCTATTCTGCAAGTCGGAGATGGATCGCCCCCGTCACCGCAAGCGAATGTAGATGAGGTCGCGGTGGAAGAGGCGGTTGTCGAAGTCGTAGTTGCGGTCGAGGTTCCTCGCGCGCTCGACGCAGAGGGAGAGGTATATGTGTTTCTCGTCGTAGTTGAAGTCAAGGTTCATCGCGCGCTTGATGACGGCGCGGTAAAAAGAGGTACTGGCTGGGGAGAAGAGGGCCTTCGTCCGGTCGGTCGAGGCTGGATTTCCTCTCGCGCTCGAGATCAAAGTGGCAGAAAGAGTCGGCGCAGTGGATGCGTTGCGGTAGGTGGCCACAGTGCGGACGTTCCGGTAGTCGTCCGCGATGCCCTTGTTGCGGTCCTGCAGGTATCATCCGCCGCGCATGTCGGTGACGTTGTACGCCATTGCGCCCAGTAGAGAGGTGAGCAGGGCTGCCGCGGCTGAGACAGCTCCGCTACCACGTCGAAAGTAAGAGTGCCAAGCGATGTCTGTCAAGAGGGGAAGGGTCGTGGTATGGTGACGGTTTGCGATAGGAGAAAGGGCCTTTTTTTCAATCCCAGTGCCTCACATCGAGTACCGGCTGCGGCGCCGATGCTGGAAGCTGGGGCGGTGCAGCCTCGAGCCGATACTGCAGCGGTATCATGCAAGCTTATGTCCTCTTGTGGTACATATCGGCAAAATTATTGCACATAAGCGCCGCCTTCGGCAAATCTCGCGAATGAAAAAATTAAGGCGATCATCGAAACGATCGGGCGTCTCTTAACGGGGGTGAAGAACAAGTGAACGATCGGGCGTCTGTTAACGGGGGTGGAAGAAAACTGTGCCTATCAGGCCCCCCCCCCGCGTTCATTGATCCCCCCGTTGCCGTCAAATCGAATCGAGTCGACCGCGGCAGCGAATGGCACAGGCCGCGGGCCCACTCGCTCTCTCTGGTTTGGTGGTTGGTACGCCTGGGGGCCCTGAGCGCGGTCCTCCAGAACAAGCACGAAAAGCAACGGCGATCCTTGCGGCCGCTGGTGGCGCAGCGCGGCCGCTGGTGCCGCCTTGTTCCCGGGAGTGCGCACGGAGGAGAAGGCGCGGAAAAACATTGGCGTGGAGAAACGGGACCAAGATGGGGCGGAGCTGGGACGAGGAGGACGACGAAGAGACAGGAAGAGGAAGACGAGGAGGAGGAGAATGAAGAGGACGAAAAAAGGGACGAGGAGGAGGAGGACGAAGAGGAAGAGGAAGAGATTCCTCCTCGTTTTCCCCTCTCGTCCCCCTCCTCTCTCCATTTTTAAAGCTCCCCATCCAGTATCTGGCGGCCGGGGCGCGCGGCAGGTCCTCAACGACATCGCGGTCAGCAGCGTCTGCGAACGCACGGGGCGGCCCCCGCCCCGCCCCCCTCCGCCCCGCACCCTAGAACACTGGGGAGGCAAACGTGGAAAAATCCTCCGTCGCCTCGCCCCCGTGAGAAAAGGGAGAATAATGTTAGCCAACATGGGCACCAAACAGTTTGTTTTTTGTTAAGTTGTGCTACGTATGCGGAGCAATCGGCGCGGTGCAATCTTTCGGTATGCACCTTAGGGTGTGCGATATGTGCTGTGCATCCTATGCTGCGCAGTACCAATGGAACTATCGGCAGAGGGGAGAATGAGAAGAGAGAAAACACATCCAGCGCCCCCCGTGGACAAAAAACAGTCGGCGCCAGAGAAAGAGACGGACGAAACCTCTTGGGCGTCGATCACCAAAACGGTTCCGCGCGGAGTGCAGGGTTCCAATACAATACTAACAGAGCCCCCTAAACAGCGTCCACCACAGGCACACGCGATGTCCCAAGAGACGCTTCAGTATGTACCCTCCTGCACAGGCCCCAGGCAGCCAAACTCGTATGTGAATAACGGTCGTTCGATGTTTTAGGCTTCCCACGCTTTTCGTCCCAAGATTGCTTCAAACATATGTTCAAACAGTCCTTTGCGCGAGGACCGCCTGGCGCAAACAAGCGCTAGTCGAACTCGCGGCAACCATTTTTGGTTACAACAAAAAAACGGCTTGCATGTCTGCCTTCGGCCAAAACTGACCGAAGAGGTGCCGCCCAAGAGGGCCTCCCGATGGGCGCAAAAAAGCCCGACGTTCCAAAAACCCGTCAAGCCGCGCTGACCAAATTCAGCAACATCGAACGGAAGTGTGCGAAGGAGAAATTTGCGGGCATGGTGCGTTGACATCCCTAATCCCCCTGGCGGGCCACGCCGCATCTACCGACCTGTTGTCCGACCCTCGCCTTTAGTCCTAAAGCGGCCCAGGAAGGCTCCAAGAGGGTTCCAAGAGAGCTCCGGGATGGCACTAGAACGACCCAAAGTGGTCCAAAAGAGGCAAATTACCCGAAGAGAAAAAGAAAACCTGAGATGGCCCGAAAAGGGAGGTCCCAGACGCCCAAAGACAGCCCCGTGAGGACCCTCATACAGTAGGGCGGTTTCCCAATCCTAGACAGTTTGGGCGGAGCACCGGAAAACCGAAAAAAAAAATCACAACCCTGGAAAAAGAACAGCCCAACACTGGAACGGAAGCCCGCAGCCCAACCCTGGAAAAGGGAAAGGCCCAACCCTGGAACCCACCCCGAGCACTGGAAACCACGGCAAATGGGAGGGAGGCAAATGACGCCAAGCGCATGGATGTCTGCTGATTGCTCGATTTGATGCGACGAACACAACCTCACCGAATGATTTCGGACACCGTGTGCACGCCATCTTTTGGCAGACATATCCCGACCTGGAACTGTGATTCCGAGCAGACCAAGAATCACCAAATTAGGTCGGATCATCTGTGCGCGCCATCAACTTACAAACGGCGACCGACATAGAACGGTGATTTTTACCAGTTGCCCGGTAGCTTCCGAGCAAGTCCAAAATCACCATATGAAATGAAACCACCTGTGCGCATCATCTGTTTACAGACAACCACCGACCTAGAACATCGATTTCTGCCAATTGCCAAATGGACTTAGACCAGGCCCAAATTCACTAAATTAGGGCGAACCGTGTCACGCTTTAAAACAAAGATACAGAGAGAGAGCGAGAGCAAAGGGCAGAGAGAAAGAGCGGGTGAGAGTGAGAGAGAGGGAGAAAGAGAGAGAGAGATAGCGCCAGATATAGGTACTATAGAATGAAAGACAGAGCGAGAGAGAGAGAGAGACAAAACACATATACAACACATGATGATGAGTAGGGGCGATAGGGAGACATACTAAGAGAAACCCATATTAATGAAGAAACTTTGGGGTATAGAGAGATATATCGCGAGAGGGCAAACATTACGGAACAACAAGATAGCGACAGGGAAAAGGAGCATGCCAAACCATACTGAAAGTGACAAATGACAGGTGAATGTATGTGCTTATGTATCGGGAGACAGGGATCGATAAACAAAGAGCCAGAGACCACTATCACGAAACGCACACACACATACACGCACACATACGCAGAAGCACCCGAAACTGACAGAGAGACAGGCAGACCAGACAGACAGACAGTCAGACAGGCAGACCAGACAGACATACAGGCAAAGCGAAACAGAGAGAAGGGGGGGGGACAGAGAGAGAGGGAGAGAGAGAGAGAGATTCAAAAAAGAAGAAGGACAAGGAAGAACACAAGGAAACCCTAACCTGAAGATTTCCCCACGCGCCCCTACCGCCACGCAAAGCCAAGAAAATCACCAAACCAGGGCGGAGGGGTCAGGAAACCTGGCCCGCGGGCCGCGTAGAAAACACACACACACGCGCACATACGCTGGAGAACCCGACAGGCAAGCAGGCAGGCAGGCAAAACGGAGATAGGCAACCTAGACTGACAGGCAGGCAAAGCGAGAACGGAGACAGGGGGAAAGAGAAAGAGAGAGACAAATAAAGAAAGATAATAAACAAAGAACAAAGAGAAAAGGAGAGGGACAAAGAAAAACAAAGGGGGAGATCTTAATTTGGTGATTTCCCCAAGCGCCCCTCCCGCCACGCAAAGCTGATGAGATCACCAAACTCGGGCGGAACGGTCGGGAAACCTGGCCCGCGGGGAACCGGCGGCCGCGTCGAGAACGACCATGAAACGCACACACACTCACACACACACACCACACACACACACACACGCATACGCCGACGCTGACGCAGCCGACACACACAAAGAGGCAGGCAAGCAAAAGGGAGACAGGCAAACTAGACTGACAGACAGGCAAAGCGAAACGGAGAAGGGGGAGAAAGCGAGAGAGATGAGAGAAAGGGAGATAAAAGAGAGAGAGAGAGAGAGAGAGAGAAAGAAAAACCAACATAAATAATGGGAGAGACCCTAATTTGGTGATTTCCCGACGCGCCCCCAACCGCCACGCAAAGCCGACGAAATTACCAAACAGGGGCGGAGCGGTCGGAAAACCTGGCCCGCGGGACCCCAGAGGCCGCGTGGAAAACGACCATGCGACGCACACGCACACACACACAAACACGCATACACACACACTCACACACACATACGCACGCATACGATGACGCACCCGACACATATAGACAGGCAAGCAGGCAAAAGGGAGACATAAAGATTTGAACAATGCACAGGCGAAGCGAAAAGAGAGGGAGAGAGAGAGAGAGAAAGAGAAAGAGAGAGAGAGAGAGAGAAACCCATATATATATATAGATACACACACAATAACAAAACAAATCCGCCGGCCCACTCGTGTGGCCATCAGGCTGCGAGGCTTAAGCTTGCTGCTCCCTGCTCCAGTTGCAGGTTCCAGTCCCCATTGTGATAATTCCACTTCTGCTTCCTACTGTGAATGTTTACTGTCCGCGCGAGGGGGGTGAGCCCCAAACCGCACAGTTACCACGTCCGAATCACGTCCTCAGAATGCCTGGGGGTCGAGGGGCACGTACAAAAACATGAAATTCGCACCCCCGAGGCCACAATCCCTGGTGAATTACACAAGGTTCGCGTCCACGATGCCACATACCCTTGTAAATTATACGCTTCTTGCGCCCCCGAGGCAACAGACCATCGTAAAGTATATAATATTCGTATCCCCAAAGACACGAACCCTTTGCAAATTTCGCCGTGTTCGCACTGCCGAAGCCAAGAGTGCTCCAAGGCGCCCGAAGATGGTTTCAGGACGGCTCGAAAGGGCCCAAAAAGGCCCCAAGAGCGCTCCAAGAGGCTTCCCAAGAGGCCAGAATCGTAGATTGTGCGAAGATGTTTGGATGATATTGGTTTTCTCGCATGTTCAGCTTTCCGACGCTCCAAGACGGCTCAAGAAGCTCCCAAGACCGCCCCAAGGTAGCCCAAGACGCCTCCAAGAGGGCCCCAAGACGGCCCAGGAGGACTCCAAGATGGCCCAAAAAGCGCCCAAGAGGCCCCAAGACGGTCCCAAGAGGGGCTCAAGCAGGGGACCACAAACCGAACATTCGATATTCGTGACCCGAGAAACCCCCAGAAGGCCCCATGAGGCCGCCAAGATGCCCTGAGAGGTCCCAGGAGGCGTCCCAGACATGCCCAGGAGAAATCCAAGATGCCCAGACGATATCCAACGAGGCCCAAGAGGCCCACAAGAGGCGCCGAAACAGCCTCCGAGAGGCCCTCCTGGGGCTCCCCGCGACACCCGGACACAGCTACAAGAGGCAACATACCCACAACTCAAGAAAGGTGGCCGGATGGGCCGAAGGCCAATAGGACCTGCCACCTCCTCTCGATTCATCGCAGGGGTGCCTGGCGTGCTAGATCCACTCGGATTGGGTTTTGGTTCTTTTTCCAAAAGAACTACCCCTGGGGCTTCGGCCCGTCCCGCCGGCCACTGCCCAGAGCCCAAATCCCCAAGTGTTCCTCCAAAGCGGCTCAAGATTGCCTTCAAGATGGCCGCGTTGGCCCAAGATGGCCCCCAAAATGGTCCAAGATGGCCTCCAAGTCCGCCCAAGATGGTCCAAGACTACCTCCAAGACGGCCAAAGAGAACCCAAGATACCTCCAAAGTCGCCCGGGAAGCCTCCAAGGCGGCCCAACACGACCCCTGTATGATGACGCTGCCAGGCTCTTTCAAGAGACAGCTTGACGAACCACATCAAAACGGGGCGCCAGAGGCGCCAGATTTCAGCCACTTCTGCTTGAAAACTAGATTAGCTGGGCTCGGACGTGGCGTTAAAGGGCGGCCAAAGATTTCTCGAGGAGAATGTGGCCACGGCACATACATTCTCATGCAAGCATTTCCACGATGACGCTGCCAGGCTTTTTCAAGAGACAGCTTGTCGAATCACATCAACTTGGACCCTGGGAGGAGGCGAGGTGTCGCGGGCGACAGGGCACGAAAATGGCCAGCCGCCCAAAACGAAGCTCCTCGTTCCTCGC